CAACTTGGCTGCAGATTTTGAATATCCATCTGGGAAAGTGGAGGAATTCGACCTCTTGACATGGACCAAAAAATGTTGCTGCGTTTATTCTCTGGCTGATAGTTTAATGTTCTTTTCCCAAAGTCCTGTAGCTTCTATTTTCTTTTTGGTTGAAGTGAAAGAATGAGGAGGCCGTTGTTTTCCTCCATTAGTAGGACACGAAAAAACCTGTGTGGTCTGTTGTGAGAGCAGGTCTGTAAGAAGTGCTTGAACAGTTCCTGCAGCATCGTGGGTTTATATTTATCACAGATAGCAGAAAGGTGACGGCTGATGATAATGTTTCTGCTCATGTATCTATCTGTCATCAGAAAATCCCATGGACCTGTGCACAAATGTTAAAAACACTTGCAGAAAGTAATCATTAAATGTAAATCAAAAACTGATAAGCTTTTCAGAAATTGCAATAACTGTCAATTTGACAGATTTTCTTAACATTTAGTGTCACTGTAGCTGATACAGATTTCTAACGCATATTTTCAGAGCTAACAGACTGTGTGAGCGCTTTTTTGTTTGTTTGTTTGTTTGTTTGTTTGCTATTAACTATTTTGCATCAACTCTGTTAGGAAAATATCTCATAAATGACTGAACAGATTTTAATAAAACGTTTGGTCACTGAATGCATTTCTTCACCAGATTAACGTTTTGAGTCGATTCATTTCAAAACAGTTTTCACAACCAGCTGAACCTGCAAAACAGAAAAAAAAGCTCAAACGTATTTATTTTGTTGATATTAAGTTAAAGATTTTGAACTAGTTGTGACGCAATACATACCCGATAATTCAAGTGTTACTGCACAACACATTTGCTTTAAACTTTAGCGCTAACTGTTGGAGTTAATACTGTTTGTCCGTTAGCAAAATATCACATGACACATTCTATGCAACTTTCAGACAATAATCACTGAATGTGCTAATGTAATTCAAGATGGCTGCCACAACTAATGAGCATTAGCCAACACCTAAATGTTCATAATTCTGTCATTTTAAAGATGCTGAGCTAGAACATGATGTGGGAACAGCTGAGTCCTACAACATATACTTTGAAAATTAATATCTCACAATACTGCATGAGACTGCTGAATTTTATTTTTAAGGTTTGACCAAAACGAACGCAGCACTGTCATTTCTCAGGATAAGATGATCTGAAACTCTGGGATAAAAGATGACAGGACGTTCATTTGTTTGTTTCGAGTCAAACAGAAACCAACAGATGAAAACTTTACACACGAGAGCAAACAGGAGCATAAAGTGCCAATATTAACTAAATGTACAAAGTTTGCAGATATTCTTCATTTCCAAACAGAGTAAGGAATTTAAAAGCATGCATTGCATCAAACTTTGGAATGTTGTGATCAAGATGAAACTAAAACAATCTGGTGCAAATTGATTTAGAAGAGGGGGAAAAGAAACAGTTTGCTCACCAGCTGAAGACAACGGTGCACGCACATAACCAGAACCATGACTACAAACAGGTCAATACCACCCACAGCCTGAGATTAGAAATAATGGATTCCTGTTGGAGCCCAACATCTGGACTCAAGTCATTTTTCACTGTTTCAAACAGCAAAGTGATGAACTCAGACAGCAAAACTAAAAAAAACTTTAAAAAAAAGACTAGTCGGCTTAAACAGTTCAGGTAAAAAAAAGTGTTTTTATATAAGAATCCCGACATGCTGTGTGTGAGAGCGTCATGTGAGCTCATTCTGAGCATTGAAGAACAGTATTGACATAATCGGAAAATTCTTATTGATTATTCTTCTTTTCTCTGAGCACCGGCTTGTTAAAGAAGAAGAAAAAAAGAACCCCTCTTAGAAACACGATCAATTAGTGAGATAGTGGCTGCCATTGATCACCCGACTGCCCCTCACAAGGCCCTACGATGGATCCCTCCACACACTCCTTATGACCAACTATTGATTTCTGCTTCTTAGCCAAATTTAAAAGCACACACTGAGGACCCACACACACACTAACACACACACACACCTTCACATCAAAACCAGACCGACTTATACTACTACTGACATCTGCTTGTCTCCATTGTAAAACCTGTGGTTGACTCATAAATATTGAGACCAGATTTGGTCCAGAACCAGCAGAGTTTTTTTACAGGTCAGGGATCAGGATGGTAATAATGTTTCCATTAACAGAACTGCCCAGGTTTTTATTAAGAACACAAAAAAAGTAACAACAATATGTTTTTAAAAATAGCTAGAAAAGGCTGGTTTAATTTTTTCTTTTTAAATTTTTTTTGATTATTAGTTTTGTTTATTAACTTAATCTCAAACACTAAATCATTATTGCTCTCCAGTGAAGGCAGACATTTATGTTTTTGCTCATGTCTGTTAGCAAAATTTCTCGTGAAACATCTCTTGAATTTTTATAAAACTTTCTGGAAATAAATAATGGATATATATCTACAAGTGATTGATCTTTGGAGTCAGCCCATTTTAAGACGGCCGCCACAGCAAGCTGAACTTAGAAAACACAAATATGGTTATATTTCAGTCAGTTTTTCAAATACAAAGCTCAGATTTGATGTGGGTGTGCCTGAGAGTCTTTCACAACAGGAACTCTGAGCGTGGCATCTCGCGATATTACATGAGTTTGCACATAATGTTAGTTTCAAGGTTTTTCTACAACATTTCTCAACGTAAGATTATCTTAAAGCATTAGAATAAAAGGTGGAGGATTCATTTCTTCAAGGTACGCAAGGCCTTTAATGTGAAGTCGTTTTGAATCAGTTTCCAGCTGTAACATTTCTGTTTGTGTAAGCCACAAAATGTTTAGGCAGAAACATCACAGCAAACGGGATCTACTTGGAAAATAAGATGATAGATGACAGCAGGAGGTTGCTCCGTTAAATTCACGTTGATGAGCTCGCAGGCATCAATTTGTCCCTCTCCACTGATCAATCATCAAACCAATCAGTGAGCCCGTCACTCCATCAGTCAGAGACAAGTGGCCTTGTGCAAACAGAGAAGTCACATTGGAGCGTAGCGGTTCACCGGAGTTAAGATTATACAGATGTAAAACTATTAGACACAGCAGGCAGCGGGGCATTAGATAATGCTCTCTCATGAGCAACTTGACTCATCTCTTTGTGAGCGACCGCCTTTGCCCTCTTCATCCCTCCGTCCCACCCTCCAAACCCCCCTCCCAATGGATCAGCTGTGATCTCCTCTCTTTCTCTTTTCTCTCAAATCAGGATTAGGGAGCAGGAGGGGAGGGGGTGTAGCAGCAGAAAGCAAGAGGAGAAGGGGGAGAGAGAGAAAACTGAAACAATATGGAAAGGAGATTAGAAAAGTGGGGGGTTTGGGCTGTTTGGGGAATTGCAAACTCCCTTGTGCTTGGGTAGGTGTCCTAATGACACCACCTAATTATGGCAAAATTAGACAGGCTAAAGGAAAAGAAGAAGAGGAGCCTGAGAATTAGGAAATATGGGAGTTGAAATGGTAAGAAGTGAGTGGAAAAAGTACGAGGTGCAGATTTACAAGCAGGGGATTGAAAGACGGCAGGCCGCGAGTGTGAGAAGGAATAAAGAAGAAAAGGGGTGGAAAGCTGTGGCGACAGGAGCGAGTGGGCCCCCAGCTCGCTGCATGTTAATTGGAGAACAGGTGTTGGGGCTGGGAGCAGGAGGCTGATTATTGGAGCCACAGAAACACACACGGCTGCAAACACACACACACCCATGCGGACATGAATAATTTAAGCTCCAAGCAGTGACTGGGGGGGAAAGGTCAGAGTAAGGGTCACGCAGACTCACAGGCAATCGCTCAAACATCTATATACATACATAAATAAAGACACAACACAAACACTAAAAACATACATCTGTGTGTGTGTGTGTGTGTACACAAACAGCCACAAACATGCTGCAACATGCACGCTTATTGTGTTCTGCCAATCAATTTACTTTCCCATTTCTTTAGCAGAAACAAAACAGAAAGTGGCCAAGAATGAAAGGGCACAAGGGCTACGCTGAAAATCCACGAGCTTATCAGAAATTAACTGCCTGCTAATTGGCTGCTCCCTCTGGACAGGATTTATGATGGAGAAGTCCCCGTTAAGAAAATGCCCAGTGTGATTAGAGACTACAGTATGTCAGGGATTTTATTCAACCTAATTGCTAAGAGCAAAAAAAGAAGTCACAAAAATAGCTCCGTCCTCATCAGGAACATGTCAAGATGCTCACAAATATGTGTTTTTTAATGTTATATCAAGTTGTGTGAGATTAATTCACCGTGGAAAATTTAAAAAGCAGCTGCTCTGGAGTATTCTGGGAAAATTTAAAAAAAAAACAGGCCCATTTTTTATTTTATTATTTTTTTTCCGTTATACAAAAAGTATCTTCAGCTGAGATCCTCTGAGACACACTGTCAACAGCCAGCCAGCTCGAACTGAGGAGGGGAAGGAAAAGGGTCCTTGACGTATATGAAGTGAGTGTTTCCTTGACAGACAATTGTGAGGAAGAAGAGAGGGAAGAGGAACAGGAGGCGGGAGTGAGTGGGCGAGCGAGGAAGAAAGAGGTGATGAAGGTCTCTGACATCACAGAGAAACTATTTTACAGAACGCTCCTGCTCGCTGGTGAACATTCATCACACCGGGTAATGCCAAGCAGACAGTGCAAGGCCTCCGTAAGAAGACGTGGACGTGAAGACTCTCTCGCACGCTGATTACAGAGGTGGTCAATCACCGTTAAGGCTAATAACTGGCTGTCAGGGTGAGCATTTATCACATGTGATGAAAGATATGCATGCTTCTAGTCAAAGGAAAATCTTTGTTTATGTCAGGTTTCAGGTGCAATGTCTGAATGAAAGGATGAACACTTGAAGACAGATTAACAAGGAAACAGAAAGTTGTGCAGGAAGAGACGCACGCTCATGTTCATGAAGTGCAAAATGACATTAGGTGCAATGAGGTGCTTGTGTGTGAGGTTTTGGACAGTGTGCTTTCATTTTATTACCTGTCAATGATGACTGGATCAGAGGGCGTCTCGTTTCGATTGCCACAACTTTTCTTCTCGCAGCAGCGACTGATTGGGTGGAAACAGGGAAACAAAAGTGGGGAAACGTCAGTGTTGGAGGGGTGGGGAAGGAAAACAAAATTAAACAGGGGTATAGCCAGCATTTGTCTGGCCCATCCACAGCCACAGGCTCAGACAACTCTGCCCACGGTCAGCCAAAATCCAGGAACACACAAAGGAGGCATGAGAGGGAGGGGAGGAGCGGACAAAAGAATAAAAAAAGAAGAAGAAAAGGTACAACAACACACCCTGCAAACAGTGAGGGACCATTCAAAAGTGAAAAGCCAGCCAGGCAATCTGTCACATTGATTCTGAAATCAAACTCAACCCCCATGCAGCCTCACTGCACATGCACATGCGCACACACACAACACACACACATATACACACACGCACTGTCCCGCAACATCCTACTATTCGTCACCAGTCCTGTCCGAGGAGCCTGCTGGCCAGCCACACCCCCCTCCAAAGTCCCCTTCACTGCATAACAAAGGTGCCCCCACCCCTAACCATCTGCCACCCCTACACCTCGCCTCAACCCTCTCGTGTCCCAGCTTGGCCCTGCCCTTCCCCCCTCCGCCCCCCTGTCAGACGGCCTCACTCCCCAGCTGTGACGCTTGCCCTCTGCCTCCTCGGCTCTGTTATTAGCCAGCTGTGAGTCACATTCGGGCATCTGCTGGCTACACAATGGGCAAGAACCCCGGCCCGTCTCAGTTCCTCTCTGCAGGCCCCAGGCCTCCATCCTTACCCCTGCTGCCTCCGAATCCTGCCCCACTTCCAGACCACATTCATCAGACTCCCCCTTCAACCTGCTTTTACTCATTTTTATCCTTCACCTACCAAAACCCTTCTGTCTTCATGTAAATACTCAACTTATCTAACTTTTTCAACAGCTCTTTAGCTCTGCGTGCTAAACCACACTTGTCATTCTATGTTCACACATGCGGTCAAGCAGCATCCGTCTGGGTGGCAGCAGCATATTCATTTCCTTAAACTGCTTATTGCTGTGAGCTGAGGCCTGGGTCCAAAATCCCAGGCCAGAAAGGAGAGGAGGGAACGAACAGGAGTTACACTGATGATATGCTGCGACGCAGCAGAAAGCTGCAGGGGGGGTCACCACTGTAACAAGGATGATGACAGACAGGCCAGAGTTATAGTTCAACAACCAGGTACATTTTCCAAAAGGGCAGAGTCCCAAGAGTCCATCCAAAAAAATGCACTTCAAGCTGACTAAGAAAAACAGAATGAAAGAGAGTAATGGATATTTGGATTTAGTCCCTGTAGGCAATGATTTCTATCAGCGTGTGTGTGTGTGTGGGGGGGGGGGGGGGTTGAGAGAGAGAGAGAGGGAGAGAGAGAGACACTCACCTGCACATAACCTCATGAGTGAGCAGAACTCTGCACATTTCAGGATTCTTGTTCTGTCCCTCATACGATATGGGCTGAGAGGAGGAAATAAGGACCGATGGGACAGATTCAGTTTCATGTAGAATAAATGAACTCGTTTATTACGGTGAAATTTGAATCCATTCTGGACGGTTTGAGGGAAGTTTGCCAACCTGTTTGGTGACGGAGTCGATAAGTCTTGCGTAAAGATCTTGCTCGGTGCGAACCCCTAAAGTATAAAAAAAATTATAAACATAAATTGGATCTTATTGATGAGTTTGAAAACATGTTCAGAGCATCATAAAGATTTCATAAAAGTGGATCGTTTTACTCATATTACTAAAATATTTCAAGACATATTGAGCCAACGTTGATTGAAAATGATCGTAGTAAAACCACAAATCTCAGAGGGAGTCATTAAACTCTTAAAAACCTGCTCTAAGTACTTTGTAATGCAGATTCTCAAAATAAACTGAGCAGATTTATGGTATAAATCATTTTGTTTTTCTCCAAACTATTTCCCAGAAAATGTTTGTCTGAACTCTGTCCAGAACAACTCAAACGAATGAGATTGTGCACTCTTTTTGTGTGCATGTGAGGGTTTCTTAGGGGATTGAGAGGTATTTAATATTTGACAAACATCGCGCATGTCTTACGTTCAGGACATAATTTACCAGATTCTCACGATTTATCAGGATGTGATTTTTGTTGTTGTTGTTGCTGCCCCAAAGTGAGCAGCGTGACCGCGGTGAATAGAAACCAACTGGTAAAAGGGGACCTGGAGATCCTTTTATACCGTTTTATAAACTTCAACGTCCAAACCTCCACAGTAAATCTGAAGGACGTAACATGCAATGAGTTGCTTCTTGAGAAAGTTTTTTTTTCTTTCCCTCATGAAGACTTTTGAGAGTATTGCTTTTAAAATGGGTTCCTCTCATCAAAGTCTCGATCGAGATGCCTTTGATACTGCCAGAGGGAACGGAGAGCTTTTTGGTGTGTTTGCATGTTCATGTGTGTCTGTGTGAACGAGGGAGCTGCTCGAGAAGACGTCTTTCATCTTCTTTCCCATGGGTGCCTGCGTGATGGCAGAGCAGGGGCAGCAGTGGCTCATGGGAAACAGATTTTTCTGTGCATCCCCAGGATCTGAGTCAGTCGAAGAGATGGGGGGTGGGGGTTCCGATGGGGTGGCAATGCACAAGCCCTAAAGTGGCTGCTTGCAAGCTTTTGAAAATTTAAGGAAAAAGATTAGACAATGAGACGTGGGTAATACGTGCGTGTCATCCTGAACTTTTTTCAGTTCCTGCAGACTTTAGGAGTGAGTCAAACTGATTACACAACTCAGACAGAGAAGTAAAACCTGCATTTAATGTTTGTTCCTACCGTTGCTGTAGAGGAGCTGGAGCTTGTAGTGTGTGCCGTTATTCGTCTTTTCTCCTGTCTGTTCCTTGGAAAAAGACACACAGAGACACACACACGCACCGTGCACACAAGTGAGTACACTGGGGCATTTAAACGTGTTAGACACAATCCTGAAGCTTATCTTCTCCATGGGTCAGATCTAAAATCAGAGATCATGAGCTCACATGTGCTGAATGCTTAAAGTAATGGTTTAGACTTTTTAAAATTGGGGTTTGTGGAAAGATAATGAAAATTATCTCACCCATATTATATAGCTCTTTAAATCAGTTAGAAGACACAAAGTTTAAGTTGGACTCTAATGCTGAGTTAAAGGTCAGTCTGAGTAAGGTCAAGACCAAAGTGGATCACTGCCCAAAACGGCTTCAGAAGCATCACTTTTTTTAATTCCAATTTTTTGGTGTTTGATTGTTTTTACCTAAAATTGCATGGTTATTTACATGTTCAAATATTAAATTTTTATGTTAACTTAAACATTTGTTTAATCTTTATCTAACCAATGCCTTCGCTGTTGTAAAAATATAAACTCTATTTCTGAGGGGTGACATTTTTTAATTTTATTCTAAACAGCAGTCACAGTAGTAACATTTCTTGTGCAGCCTGGAGCACCATACATTCCAGCAGGAGTAAATAATTTCTGACAGAATAGTCATACAGTGTGGAAGATACGGCAGTGTACATGTTTATTAAACAGTGTTCATGTGTGTTGCTGTAAAGATTATTTTTAAATCAAAGCAGTTCTAAGATGGCAGCTGCTCCCTTTAGTCTTTTGCTCATTCACACCGGCTGACAGCAAATCAATCCAATCAGAATTAAACTGTTCCTACAAACTGAGGTCGTTTAAAGAACTATCTACAACAGGTAAGATATTAGTTGTTCATAACCTTTCTACGGATTCAGAATCTTTTCAACAGATCTGAACTATCACTTTAGCTTCAAGTTGGAAGCAGAACTATGATCTCTGACACAGACCTCCTAAAACACTGAGATCAGATGTAATGGTTGTGTCTGCAGCAAGGTGGGGGGGATGTGTGCATGTGTGTGTGTGGGTGTGTGTGGGTGTGTGTGGGGGGGGCAAATTGTGTTCCCCTGCTGCATGTAAGCCTGAACACCAGTCGACCTTGACATAAAAACTTCTTTTCCACTATCCCAGGCATTCACTTCTTCCCTCTTTGCTCCTTTCTAGCAGTTGTTTTGCCTCTTTCTTCCCCTTCCTCTACCTCTCCTGGTCTTTCTAAGTGGTCTCAAAGGAATGCTCTCTGGTCCAATAACCCAGGAGGCTGGCATCACAGAGATGAGCTCAAGGAAGGAGGAGAGAGAGTAAGGAGTTTGGAGAATGGGAAACGAGGTAGTTGCGAGATGGAGCGTGGAAATTAAGATGCACGAAGACGAACCAGAAAGCAGGATCCTCAAAACCTGAAATGAGGAGTGAAACTGAGACACAACAGGTGATGGATGCATGCCTGGCTTCATAAGTTTTGTAAATACACACTGAGGAGCGGTTTATTTTTGCCATGCCATCGCTTTGCTGCTGCATAGTTATGGGGCACAAACAGATGCCAGGGTAACCATGCAGAAAATGAACTTCTCCACTGTCATGGTGGGAGTGTGTGCCGGCCTGTGTGGCACAGCAAGCAGCAACAGTGACAGCTTTCAGGCCTGGCATTAGCACTGCTGCCTACATCAATTACAGCCCACAAAACTGACTTTGAACTCCACTTGGCAGGAGGGTGTCCCCTTTTCTTCCCCAAAGGACAGAGACGCTGCCACTTCAGGAGTGTGTCTCCCACCCCCCACCCCAAACTGCGCCACAAGGCAGAACTCATCCGTCAGCGCTGAACATCAGGCGCACTTCACTCCCTCTCCTCTCTCTATCGAAATCTGTTGGACTCTTCCTCAGTTCGGTCTTGTCCAATTTCAGGAATCTGGCTCCCTCCCACATTAAGAGTATATTGGAGGGGGGGGCATGAAGACACTTTGATGATTAGTTCAGTGTAGATCTTAGCAGGAGCAAGCATAATTTGCATTTTAAAAAGTAGTGATGTCCTCCTAATGAGGCAAGCTGCTAATTAATTAGATATTCTTTTTCAATCCCACATCATCAGCTCATGGAGGGTAAAGCTTGTGTAAACATGTCGCCGTCAGCTGTTCCACATGCTTTGCTTTACTGGGGAAAAAATAAGTTGAGCACCTGGTTAAGCCAGGAAATACACGTCAGATGTTATTAATCAGAGACTGATTCTGGTTTTCATTTTGTTTGATCATTTTTGGTAAAATAAGTAATTTAAACTTTACAGGCAGAGATGGTGAGGAGGTGACCCACACACCTTTTCGTGCTCAACAAAGTCCACAAAGGCCGTCCGCTCCACTTCCACAGGTTGGCCATGTCTGTCATAGAGCGCCAGGACGAAGTGGAAGAAGTTGGACTTGCGGAGGTTTGAGGGCGGCTGCTTCTCAAAATGAGCTCTTGACAAAGCCACTCCACTGAGGACACAACAGGAAGAGACCATCATTAAACATTCAGCTCCACTCTGTGTTCATTTAGCTGTTTGTTAGTTCATTAAAACCACAACTCATTCAAGATGGGACAACATTTTAAAGAAATGTGCATCAAACAAACATTTAAGGAAGTTTTTTACCTGTTTGATATGAAAAGTAAATGGGAAATGCATCTCTCATTTGTAGGATTTAGTTAAAAAAATGCAGAAAATTATGTTTCTGATCAAATTTGTACAAAGAAATTTAGAATAAAGGCCCTTAACCCCACCATGTGCTCCCTAAAAAAACAGGTCTCTCTTGAAAATGAGTTCTCGTGGCTCAATGAGACTAATCTGGATAAATAAAGGCTAAATGAAAAAATGAAAATTAAACTTTTTTAGTCCCTTCTCAGAATATTTGCAGAAGCATATTTTTGTAACTTAATTATTTCTCTCTTGAAAATGAGTTCTCGTGACTCAATGAGACTACCTGTATAAATAAAGGGTAAATGAAAAATGAAAAATTTATATTTCATCTTTAAAGGAATGACAGTTTTCAATTTCATTCAAATCCAAACTTAAAGCTGGTGTCAGTGAAACCAAGCAAATATTAAAATCAACTTACAAGAAAACTTACTTTTGTCAAAAAGTTTTAAATATTTGAAATGTGAAAAAAATCATCCAAATGAGCAAGAAAAACTGGTGAAACTGAAAATAAAAGATTATAAATTAAATAAACTGCAATCAGTAAGGAGTAGGAGGATCATAATGAAAATGTAAAAAATAAATATTTCTAAGATCAGTTTAAGATTTGTTTTTTAACTCGGCCTAAAAAAAAAAAAAAAAGTGAACGAAAATAAAGTTGTTGTTTTTTTTTTTTAAATCTGCTCAGATTTTCAGTCAGTTTAACTTCAGGTTTCAAATGGATCATTAAAGAAATCAAACTGGATTATTTGTGGATCTTGCTGCTGCTCATGTGGACAGTAAAAAAAATACAATAAAATCTGCGACTGAAATTAAAAATAATTTGTTTGTTTTATTCGTTTTGTTTTTACAATAACACTGAAGTGGTTGTAAAGTTTATTTAAAGCCAAATTTAAAAAATCCTTTTTTTGTTTGTTTTTGTTTTTGCCTCATATAAAACTTTGAGAAATTGTTCGGATTTTCTTGTTTCCTGTAATTTTCCAGAATAGTGAACTTTTGAACAGGGCTTTATTTCTGTTTTTAAATAATAAACCGTTTACATTTGAGGCAGATAATATGTTGTTTCCGTTTTACATCAGTGAGAGAGGATTTTTTTAATTATTATTATTGGCTTTAGTAAAGAGAAGATAATATTAAAGCCCATTCGTAAAAAATGTGAAAAAGGAAACGAAAAACAACAATTATGACTATAATGCGTTTATGTTATTATTTATTTTACAAATAATTTGTTTGCTTTTAATCAAAAAAGTATTTTATGTGACTCAATATAAAAATCTATATTTTCCCTCCCGTGCTTTTAACCAAAAGCTTAATGACAAACTAAATAATAACACGCTGAAAAGTTTAAGTATGGTTTGATTCTTCTGCAACAAGTTTTGTTGTTATTGTTGTTTTTTTCTTTATTTCATATATTTTATGGTGTATAAAATATGTGGTTCGGTTTTGAGAGAATCCGCTGCGTGAAAAGGTTTCGGGATTTTAAAATATATACATGAGAAAGTTGCGTGCGTGGAGGAAGTGAGTTTGTTTGTTTTTACCTTTGCGCAGCAACGTTCGCATCCACCACTCCAACATTACGCACCCAGGACCGGACCGGATCCATCTCCACTCCAAGGTTCCTCTCTTTTATTCCACTCACTTCTCGGATCAGCTGCTCCTGGATGCCGAACATTTAAAGCCCTGCCCTGATCGTTCGATGTCTCCCGCTTTTGAAATTTAATTTAACCTGGCGGTAAGAAAAGAAGATTACACCTAAAGCGCTTGAGTCAACAACAGAAGGTCCACTTCACTTCAGGGGCTCCTCCGCGCAGCTTCAGCAGAGCTTTGAAGAAGAAACAACTGATGCTGAGGAGGTTCGGCACGAATCCACACTGACTTTTTTTTTTTTAAGATTCAAACGATGATGGGAGATCTAGTTCTCCGCAGCTTGCAGACATTGTCCGAGCGCACGTGTCCTCAGTCCCAGCTGATCATCTCCTCAGCTCCAAAACACAAGCTCGACCTGCATGGAATTATTCTTCCAAACTTCCTCGAGCGGAGAAAGTCTTTCTTTGTCACGAGGCCCAGATGGGATCAGCGCAGTGGATCCTGGGGGGTGGACCAGGAGCCTTGGAGTGAACCTCTGTCCTGAAGCATGAATGAGACTCTCAGCCGGGATGGAGCGTGGAGGAGGGGCCATGTGCCATATGGGGGGTGGCGATTGTTGATGCTCTCATTGGTTTGGCTGTTTGGACTCCTGCCAGATTCAGCATCCAACCGGTGAGCCAGAACTTTTTACACACAACTTGGACCAGTTTGGATCAGAGTTTTTCTTTGATGTGTCAGTGGAAGTTGTTTGATGGAGCTCAGATTGTTGTAAAAAGTAGGAAAACGCCCTTAAATGTTTGCAGTTTTAATACTTTTTTTATATTTATTTTACTTTATCAGCATCCTATTCTGTGTGGTTTCCTCTCTGCATGTTGGACCCTTTTTATTTATGTCGGCCCAGTCATTCAAAGCGCAACATTTAACGCACGCGCGCGCCCCTCTGAGCGCAGTGATTCGGCTCAGGACGCATGGCATCAGTGTCAGTCCGAACAATGACCGTCTGGCTGCTCCATCAGTCTCCTGCAGCAGCAGACCGAGCTGCACTCTGATTGGTCGGCTCTTCTGACTGATGGAGCCCCAAATGAGTTCTTCATCAGCTGAAGAGAGCAGAACCCTGACTCCCTGAGTCCTGAGGTGAGAATGGACCTTCTCTGTTGTCAGCATAAAGTTTGTTTAGCTCCATTAATTTTCCAGTCTAATCTAGTTTAATTTACTGCTTATTTATTGTAATTTTATTTATTATCATGAGTTCAACTTGTGTCTGTTTCTGTACAAAATTAAAATACATTTTAGGGACAGTTTGGAGAGTAAAACTAAATTCTGCTTCTGCAGCACTTCTGAAAAAATGTTGTTTTTTTTCCTTCTTTGTCTTTCTCTTTTCTGTTTCTCAATCTCTGCCCCCTTACCCGGACTATTGTCTCTGTGTTGAATTTGTGCTCCTGGACAATGAATGTAAATCCCCCCTCACCCCCACCCCCACGATCCCGCCTCAACCCACCATCTGCCATCAGGGGACAAAGTCAGATGTTCCCCCAATTATGAGCGCAGTCTCAGGGAATCCTACGGCCCAGACTGCACCTTGTCGCCTTGTCCACTTCCACTTAGATGATTGACAGCTGGACCGAACCCCCAAACCACGAGAAAACCTGCAGAGGACACTTTGACCGCATCGGTTTAATTCCTTTACTCTGTGCAACATGTTAGATTTTACAGTCTAATAAAAAAAACTGCAGACTGTTTGGGTCTGTTAAATTCCAAAACTGCCGAATATTTGCAGAAAATGAATGATTCTTGAGTCCAAAAAGTGAATTAATTTGAAGGTTAATATTCAAATAATGAAGCAAGTTAAAACATTCAAATTTGAGTGTTGTTTTATATTGAATTCTTTGCTTTGAGTTGATTTTTAACACCCAAACAGGTTTTGTTGTATTAGATTAATAATGTGATATGTAAACCAAACTGAACTCTGCCAAATAACTTTACTCGTTATGACTGGATTAAAAGTTTCCCAATGTGCTTTTCATACTTCATTACTCCTGAGGCCAAGGTAAGCTATACTTTTATTAGACTTTCATCCATTCATCCATTATCCTTACCTGCTTCTTCCTTTTCGGGTCGTGGGGTCACTGCTGCCCATGAATGTCCAGCCATCACTGTGCGGGAGGCGAGGGACATCCATTTTGTACCATCTGTTGAGCATGTGGTTGAATAAAAATTGGTTTGATCATTTACTGTCTAAAAATATGTTTTTTTGTGTGTAACTTTCTCCTTGCAGGTAATAGTTATTTATCTTTTTTGATTATTAGGGATAATTATTAAGTACTTTGACAATAACAAAAAAGCATAACTATTATTCAAATTTTTAAGGTAATTACTGAAATGTATCCAAAAAAGTTAAGTAGACTTTTCCTCTTTTCTTTTGGTATTTCAGAGCTGTCGACAGATACTCTTTACTAAAAGTATTAAGGTAAATATACCCATAAGTGCAAATTATTAGCTCAGCTTTTTTGGGTAAATTCAATAGGTTTGTTTTAACAGTGCAGGTCTCCAGTCCATCACAGGGACACATAGAGACAAACAACTGTTCACTCTCTCACTCATAATCAGCCTAACATGTATGGTTTTGGTCTGTGGAGTACCCGGAGAAAACCCACGCGTGCGCAGAGAGAACATGCAAACCCCACTCAGAAAGGCCCCGGGACATCCATGAAGTTTGTGGTGAGGAAAAAACTCAAATAAAGTTCATTTGTAATAAAGAAAGATTATCCTGAACTATATTAAATGATGCAGTTTGAAGGCAGTTACTCCAGTTTATTTTAGATTTGATTGATCTAGAGTTCTGAAATGTGGGTGTGCACTCAGTGTAAACAAAGCACTCAAAGAATCAGCTGAAAAAAAGGAGGAAGCTTGAGTCATGTGGCTGACCTGCACTTGTCACTGCATGTCGTCTGCAGAGGTGCAAATCTAAAAGTTCTCTGACTCATAGTCCGCTAACTAAAAACACAGGCTTTGATCACAGTAAAACTTTTTTTTTTTTAAGTAGTGTAAGATGACTCAAACCTGTTGATGTTAGGTTGATTCTATCAACCTGCTCAACTAGCTGCTGCTGCTGCGTCGACCTATCACGTCTTGCCACATGTACACGTAGTCAGCCAATAGCGTGCCTAAGAACTCTCCGAGACACACCCACATCAGACAGGAAAAAACTTGTAAATTTTATTAGTGGACTTAAAGTTAGCAGAGCCTAATTGGTCCACTGTGTTTACAAAGTTGGCGAAAACGCTAATCCAATAAATGAAAAATTAGCTTCGCTCTTAGCTGTTAGCGGATAAGCAGAACCGTGCCCACCACTGGCAGTCTGTGTGGTGGGAATGGACAAGATGGTTGTTAAGAATACTGTTCTGGGAATCAAACAGGGTGGTGGAGCACCAAAGACAGGGCTTCAGCATTTAAATAGGATGGGCTCTCAATACAATATTTTCTTTTTTTTTAAACTCTTAACACCTGGAATAAAAAAAAAAAGTTTGGCTCAATCATCCAAGTCAATAAATCACACAAAAAAAGTTCAATCACGTCATCTGGACAGTTTCTGTTTTTGGAAGGAGATGTTTCATCCTTCATCTGAAGGACTTCATCAGTCTGAGGCCTGCCAACAGGATCTGTCGTATTAAGTAGCACCTTGTTGACGTGTTTCAAACCAGTCTGCTGTTGAATGGCTTTACACATACAAAATGAAGGACCATCAATCTAAAACAATTGATCATCAGTGAATAACAAGGATTTTTACTAAAACTTTTTTAGTTTTGGACATTTGTTATGATGCGTAACCATGGCAACGAGGCAGTTCTCTACAACCAACAGCAGCTGATTAACGTCTCAAAAGCTCAAATAATATCTCAACTACAGCCCCGAATCTCAAATAAGTTGAAAGGATGTTCTTTGGACGCATTCTCATCTACCTGCCAGCTGTGCTCAAGTGCCTGCATCCACTGTGATCCTGGAACTAACAGGAAACATGGGTCATGACAGTGGAAGGACAGGATCGTCCCTCTGCACCTACAGTTGGCTGTCCGCAGCGACGAGGAGCTCGGCAGACTGCTGGGAGGCGTGGCCATCGCTCTGGGAGGAGTTCTGCCCACCATTAGGGCGGTCCTACAGCCTGGGGGAACCGAGAGGTCAGCCAAGTCTGGGTGGACGGATTGGACGGCATGTGCTGCCAGTTTCTTAGGATCCACTGTGGGATGGATCTTTACAAGAGATCCTTCCTGTCTACAGCCATCAGCATCTATAACATCTCTTAATGAAATGAGGATAATAAGTTACAACAACAAATAATTTCCCTTTGGGATTAATAAAGTATTTTTGAATTGAATTGAATTTGAATTGAACAATCAAATGTTATAGACAAAACCAAACCAGCTGGGCCACAACCTGGCTAAAATGGTTAAAGATAAACTTTTGCCTATACTTGTTATGAATTGATGAATTATTGTGTTAGACTGATGGTCCTTCATTCTGCATGTGCAAAACCACTCAACAGCAGACTGGTTCGAAACAGCAAGGTCTATACAACATCCAAATGTTCCATCCTTCATCCTTCGAATGAAGGATGGAACATTTCTTCCAAAAGAGAAACTGTCCAGATGACGTGATTTAACTTTTTTGTGAACACTTGGATCTGTTCAACTCAAATATTACTTTATCTAAAGACTGTGACACGCACTGTAGGCCAGACGAAGGTCAGCCTCTTTACACCATCTATAACTTGTATGATTGTGTTCAACTTTGACACAAACTTTACTCAACAAATCTGTAACACATCCAAAGCTGCCAGACTCATTGAGTGGACATAAAGTAACTTTCTTTTTAGTGTGTAAGTCAAACATTTATAATATGTGAATATTTGTATTTTTAAAAAGCAAAGTGTATTCTCATTTAAGCTTTCTTTAAGCTTTAATTTTTCCATCTCTTCAAAGAGCGGTCTGCAGCTCACATCATCATTTGGTGAGTTTGCGCCATTTTGACGTATTTTATTGAAAAGATCAAATAAAAATCTGTTTAGTATTTGATTCTGTGCTGCGGGGG